ATCAGCCGTACGTTCACGGGAAGTGCGAGCCACCGGCGATGATCCCGCTGCACATGCACCGGGTGTCGGTGGAGGTCGACTGTTGCCTCGACACGGCGTTCGTCACCGTCAGGGGCGCGTGGCGCATACATTGCGTCTCCGCGAGTAGGAGCTGCTGCTGCCGCATTGCTGTACCCATGGGTGAAGAGGTGTGCCAGTTGAAATGTGTTCTATTTTTATTTTTTATTTTTTATTATTTTTTTTCAATTGGGTCTGCCTTGGTGGGGATTTTCCTATGGGTTTGTTTACATTTTTGTTTTTATCTGCTCTGTGTTAAATGATATTTTACGAGTTTTGCATATGGTGTTCGTTAAATTGACGGATATATAGTCGGATATAGTCACAAGATGTGGAAGGATATAGATTGACAAATGTTCATAAATAACCAAGAACCATAGTGCTTGTAGTTACATAGAGTTTACATCATGTAGCATAATTTTGAGAATATTTCACGATGACATAGGTGATACAGGTCACTCATAGACATAGAATCTTGAAATGATTTAGTTGAAGTGGTAGTGTTGCCATATGTGTATACCGAACTTGATGTTTCAGTTCTCTGTTTGGTGCAGAAAATTCATTCCTATAATAGGAATTCCGAAGACCTAACTTTCTGAAATTTGTATGATACTTTACTGAGTCGTAAAGGTTAAATCTTTTGAGAACAAGGGGCATGGGGTGTGTTTCTTTTTTGAGCTATCCTCGTACTTTCATGTTTGTTGATGTCGGCATTTTCGAGTTACACAAGAAAAGCAAACAATTGGCTGGTTTTCTGATGGGCCATCTGTCTTTATGTGGGCAATGATCACTTATAACACAAATGGTTTTATAAAGGCAATTTCCCAGTTTTGTAAAGGCAGTTTCCCAGAATGTTATTGTACAATATTAAGAGAAATTTGAAATTATGTATAGTTTGGAGAAACATGCTCTGAATTTTGAGATGTCCTGGATCACTTTGATTTATATATAGAGTTATTTTTTCCAAGTTAGCAATGTGTTACATTATATGAGATATTCCGGATCACTTTGATTTACATAATTTTTTTTTTGAGTTAGCGCGGTGTGTTAGTTAAAGACGCACTGACATTTTAGGCTTTTAGCTTAGAGTTTGATGTTTAATGTTTTCACTTTTATTGAGCATTATTTGGCTAACAGGTTTCAGTTCTAGGTGTAGAAGTTGAAAGCCCTTTCAAGTCATACAGTACACAGTTGATCTCACTGGAAGATACAGCAGATGCAGCTAATGTAGCCAGAAGTAAAGATGGATTTCTGATAAGAGGTCGCATATACACACTTAAAATTCCTCAGGTAATTTTTTGAGATATTTACAAAAATTACCTCTCAAGTTTAGCATAATTATTTTTAAAAAAAAAGTTCAGTTAACTTCTAAAATTATGGGTAAGCGCCCTTAAGATTTGTATTTGGTATACAAAATTATCCCCGCAACTCTCCCTCAATAAGTGGTGGTGCAATTTGATTAGAAGCATCTGTGTAAATTATACCTGTAATCTTGAACGAAATTTTGGTTTTTTGGCAACTAAAGTGACGTTCAAGGTTGTTTTGGTAACTACTCAACCTTTCTAAGCTCTTTATCATCAGCATATGCATGTTCTTGACACTGGTTTTTATTTTACAGGTCGATGGTGGAACTATGCTATCAATCAAAGTCAGTTGGTCCCAAAAATTGTTGTATGAAAATGGAGAATTTTGCCTCAATATGCCTTTCACATTTCCTTCACATGTCATTCCCATGGCGAAGAACTTGACTAAAAAGGAAAAGGTTTTAGTTAATGTGAATTCTGTTGCCGGAACAGAAGTCTCGTTCCAGTGTACGAGTCATCCTCTGATGGTAGGTATCACATATTTAATGTTCCATAATTATTATTCATTTTAAAGAATATTTTGTTCCACACTCTGAATGATGTTACCATAAATGATAGAAAATAGGTCAGGAAGGGACGAAAGTGGGATTTTGCTGCGAGAGGGAGGTTTCCGTGTGGTCCATGGCTGACTTCAGATTTTCATACAATGTAAGACCAGCATCCTGCGGTTTCTGTGTTTACACTCTGCCTTATTTTTCACAGTGAATAATAAGTCTGTAGAAGATAGTTCATTGGTGATTCATGATATTTTTAATCCTCAGGTTTCTTCAAGTGAAATAAATGGTGGTCTTCTGTTGCAATCCCCATCTCTGCATGATTTTGATCAGAGAGAGATGTTTTGCTTTTATCTGTACCCAGGGAAAAGTATAAGCAAAAAGGTATTGGCAATTATTATCTCACATTGATGTCTGTAAGCAGCCTCAAATTTAATTATATATTTGGCTTTCACATTATTTTTATAACCATAAACTTCTTGTTTCTTAAAAGGATATAATTACAGAACTTCTATTTCATAATAACTTTTGGCTTTTACTGTTTGCCTTTATTCTATGCTTTGTCTGTACGTTGTAGATGGTGAAATTTTCTTGAAAAGTTTCTTATAACCTATTACGATTAGTAAAAAAGATAAACGGTTCTTTAGATAGAGGTTCGTACAACTAGTTGATATTATATTACTGCACCGTAATGTTCATGAATTTATATGGCGTAACATTGCAGGCTTTTAGAAAAGAAGTGGTGTTTTTAGTTGACATAAGTGCAAGCATGCAAGGAAGTCCAATTGAACATGTTAAATCTGCACTCTTGGCTGCACTTTCAACGCTTGATCCAGCCGATACTTTCAACATTATTGCTTTCAATGGAAATTCATTATTATTTTCTCCATCTTTGGTACGAGCCACTACGGAGATGATTGAAAAAGCTTCTGAATGGACTAAAATGAGTTTTGTAGCTGAGGGTGGCACAAATATTTCAACTCCTTTGAATCAGGTATTTCAGAAGAACACAACGTAGTCATAATTAAAATGCTGATATAAATTACACACACACACACACACACACCTCTTTTTCATTCTGCTCAAATTTGCAGCAAGATACTGTGCATGCTAGGTGAGGTTAAGTAATTGCTGTTTGGTGATTGCTGCAGTAATGAAAGGCTTCTGTCTGGAAAATATACTTTTTATTTCTTTATTCAAATGTTATCATGAAAGTCTTTTAATTGGTCGAGTTCCCCCTCCTCAACCCAAGAGATTTGTAAGAAAATTTGGTTACAATTACTGTCATGTGCTTGTATTCTTTACCAAATGAAAGCTTCATAATGTTTGGTTTGTGTGCATGTGTAAAACTACGCTATTTACATTTTCCACTGGTTGGTGTGCAGGTGTAAAACTACGTTATTTACATTTTCCACCAAATGAAAAGGTTGTCTCAACCATCTATTACATTCATCATTTATAATCATTTGCTCATGTTAGGCTTTCAACATGTTCTCAAAAACTGGCGGTTTACTTCCTATAATTTTCCTCATTACTGATGGAGCTGTTGAAGACGAGAAAGACATTTGTGATGCAATGAGAGGCCACCTCATGAAGGAAGGCTTGACTACTCCGCGAATTTGCACATTTGGCATCGGTTTGTTCTTATTTTATTATATTTTCTTTTTGGGGGTTTATTTTATTCTGTTCTATTTCTTGTCTCTACACAAATGATCGATCTTTGACATAAAGTCTCTCTGCCTTGCACAATCAGGTTCATATTGCAATCACTACTTCTTGCAAATGCTTGCACAAATTGGACGGGGTCATTATGATGCTGCACGTGACATAGGTTGGTCTCAAACTATCGGTGTTATTTTATACGGTAACAGTTATTTTGGTTTTCTTTTTTAATGCTATACGCAAGATCTATCAGCTGTAATGAGTTAAGAACCTAGCCAAAACTATAAAACCAAAAGTTTGAATCTGTAGTTTGTTTTATTTATTAGCAATAAAAAGTTTTGAAAGGTGAAAAATTAAATGTCTAATTTCCAGGTTCAGTCAACTCGAGGTTGGAAAGATTAATTAGTAATGTATCATCAGTCGTACTTGCGGACCTAAGTATTGATGCTCTGAAACATCTTGATTCTCTTGAGGTATGATGAATGTGTTGTAAAATCAACCAATCCCTATTCTCCTGTTCCCTGTGGTGAAAATTATTCTACTCATTTCTGATTATTCACGGCAGTGCTCTATATATTTGGTTCATTTTCTTTTTCTATGTTGTGGTACTTGATGGCATATTTTAGTCTTTTACTTTTTTCTTCATTTCAGATTTATCCATCTCTTATTCCAGACTTGTTGTCCGGATGCCCACTATTTATATCCGGAAGGTATAGTGGAAAATTTTCCGAAAGTATTGAAATTGGTGGTACCTTACCAGATTTGAGTAATTTCAAGATAAATGTGAAAGTGCGAAATGCAAAGGATATCCAAATTGACAGAGTAAGCTTTCTTTGACTCGTTATCATGAGTTCATATGTAAACTTTTTGGAAGTTGGTAGAGGCATGGAAGTGCATTTGATTTCTGATTCCAAGTTATTTCCCTTAGTTATATGGACCTTTAAAAGCCCAAATAAGATAAATTATAGTATATAAATTAATATTGGGTGATAATCTAACCTTCGTTTTTAATGGTGCCAGGTATTTGCCAAGAGACAAGTTGATGCACTTACAGCTAATGCATGGTTTTCGGGAAGCAAACAACTAGAGGAAAAGGTTCGTAGCTGCTGTTTCGTTTCGAAGGGAATTAAATGAATATGAGATATAGATAATAAACTTCAAGATTAATGCACGACACAAAATTAATGCAGTCATGATAAAAAAAAAAAAAAATGTGCAGAAAACTTTTGATGAATGATTAGCCATAAGATTAACTACTAGTGGAATTGATAACCGATCTCTTTCTTGATTGTGTAAATTTGAATTGACAAAAATGCCCCTTGTAGGCTATTAAACTGAGCTTGCTGATGAGCGTGCCTTCTGAATACACCAGTATGATTCTCGTTGAGACTAAGGGCAAGTTACCTTCCAAATCAAAAACAATGCCGGAGGTACACTTTCTTTTGGGCACTTACAAAAGAAGCTTACTTTTTACTAGTTATTAATCTAGTTGGCATGACATGCTTAAGGCTATGTTTGCTATATCTTGCTGATAAGTGATAAGTTAGCTTATAGTTTTTAAGTGAATTGCGAACTGATATGACTTATGGCTGAAAAGGTAGCTTGTATGATAAAAGTGTGTGTAGCTGAAATAAAAATTTCAGTTACTTATTTGAAAAGTTAAGGAAGCTTATACAATCAGCTCGAGCTTTTTAAAAAAACTCTTCCGACCAAACCAAGCCTATCATGATGCTTATAAGCTAGCTTATATGCTTACCAAACACTGTCTAAATACATAATTGTGTTGGCTTATTAATATCCTTAGGGCAATTAAATTACAAAACCATGGCTTCGTTTTACACCTAATTACTGGAAAAACTATTTTGGGAGTTGCAATCATTTCCCGCAACCTCTAACCCAACGAGAAACAAACCTCTTCAGGAAAAAGCCAAAGCCACGGGGCAAAAAATCATTTACCTGCGCGGTTTGGGCCTGGGCTTCGGGAGCATCGAGGCCACGGTTGAGAACAGACCCCCCGAACATGCGGAGCCCAAATTGTACGAGACTTCGGAAAAGATACTAAAAGCAGCCACTGACTGTTGCTCGAGGATGGTCGACTGCTGCTGCTGCATGTGCTTCATCCAGTTTTGTGGAAAGCTCAACGACCAGTGTGCGATTGCTTGCACCCAGCTCTGCTCGGCACTCGCCTGTTTTGGGTGCATCGAGATGTGCTGTGAGGTGTGTTCCGGCGGATAGAGAGGTTTTTGTGCCATTGGAATTTGTGTTTGAATTTGTAGCTTGTGGGATATTATGCGACTGTTTGCATGGGATTGTAAGTGTTCTGTGTACATATAATATTTTGTATCTATCGTTTGGAGTGTTTGTTATTTCCATTGTGAAAAAAGTAGCGGCCGGCCCGTGGTTTGACCGCGCCACATATATGTAATTTTTTGAAAGGCTGGCCGGTTCCGAATATGAACAG